AAATGTAGCAAAGGGTGGAAACCTGACATTTCTACTCATTAAGCGAGGCCGACTGTTCTTTGGGTTGGATCCAGTAACTGGCATTTTAATCTGTCTCAGAGGAAGTAATGCGGAAGCGGAACCTGGGAAAGTAAGTCTGGAGAATACATACAAATGAAAAACGACAAAGAAACCCCAAGGAAAGTCATATTCTGGCCCTGCATCCACTCTCTACCATTTCCCTCATCAGCATGCATCACCTAACCACCTACTTACCTCCTGCTGTCAATCACATAACCACCTACTTACCTCTTCTCAATCTCACTCACCTACTGCTGTCAATCACCTAACCACCTACTTACCTCTTCTCAATTCTATTCACCTACTGCTGTCAATCACCTAACCACCTACTTACCTCTTCTCAATCCCACTCACCTACTGTTGTCAATCACCTAACCACCTACTTACCTCTTCTCAATCCCACTCACCTCCTGCTGTCAATCACCTAACCACCTACTTACCTCTTCTCAATCCCACTCACCTCCTGCTGTCAATTACCTAACCACCTACTTAACGCTTCTCAATTCTATTCACCTACTGCTGTCAATCACCTAACCACCTACTTACCTCTTCTCAATTCCACTCACCTACTGCTGTCAATCACCTAACCACCTACTTACCTCTTCTCAATTCTATTTATCGACTGCTGTCAATCACCTAACCACCTACTTACCTCTTCTCAATCCCACTCACCTACTGCTGTCAATCACCTAACCACCTACTTACCTCTTCTCAATCCCACTCACCTACTGCTGTCAATCACCTAACCACCTACTTACCTCTTCTCAATTCCACTCACCTACTGCTATCAATCACCTAACCACCTACTTACCTCTTCTCAATTCCACTCACCTACTGCTATCAATCACCTAACCACCTACTTACCTCTTCTCAATCCCACTCACCTACTGCTGTCAATCACCTAACCACCTACTTACCTCTTCTCAATCCCACTCACCTACTGTTGTCAATCACCTAACCACCTACTTACCTCTTCTCAATCCCACTCACCTCCTGCTGTCAATCACCTAACCACCTACTTACCCCTTCTCAATCCCACTCACCTCCTGCTGTCAATCACCTAACCACCTACTTACCTCTTCTCAATCCCACTCACCTCCTGCTGTCAATTACCTAACCACCTACTTAACGCTTCTCAATTCTATTCACCTACTGCTGTCAATCACCTAACAACCTACTTATCTTTTCTCAATCCCACTCACCTCCTGCTGTCAATCACCTAACCACCTATTTACCTCTTCTCAATTCCACTCACCTACTGCTGTCAATCACCTAACCACCTACTTACCTCTTCTCAATTCCACTCACCTACTGCTGTCAATCACCTAACCACCTACTTACCTCTTCTCACTTGATCGACTGCTGTCAATCACCTAACCACCTACTTACCTCTTCTCAATCCCACTCACCTCCTGCTGTCAATTACCTAACCACCTACTTACGCTTCTCAATCTATTCACCTACTGCTGTCAATCACCTAACCACCTACTTACCTCTTCTCAATTCCACTCACCTACTGCTGTCAATCACCTAACCACCTACTTACCTCTTCTCAATTCTATTTATCGACTGCTGTCAATCACCTAACCACCTACTTACCTCTTCTCAATCCCACTCACCTACTGCTGTCAATCACCACCTACTTACCTCTTCTCAATCCCACTCACCTACTGCTGTCAATCACCTAACCACCTACTTACCTCTTCTCAATCCCACTCACCTCTGCTATCAATCACCTAACCACCTACTTACCTCTTCTCAATCCCACTCACCTCCTGCTGTCAATTACCTAACCACCTACTTATCTCTTCTCAATCCCACTCACCTCCTCCTGTCAATCACCTAACCACCTATTTACCTCTTCTCAATTCCACTCACCTACTGCTGTCAATCACCTAACCACCTACTTAACTCTTCTCAATTCTATTCATCGACTGCTGTCAATCACCTAACCACCTACTTACCTCCTCCCAATCCTGCATCCATCACTAACAGTTTCCTTACCTCTTCTCAATCCCACTCACCTTCTGCTGTCATTCACCTAACCACCTACTTACCTCTTCTCAATCCCACTCACCTCCTGCTGTCAATCACCTAACCACCTACTTACCTCTTCCCAATCCCACTCACCTCCTGCATCCATCACTAACAGCTTGCTAACCTCTTCCAATCCCACACTTCCCCCATGTGCATCACCTAACTTCCTGCTTACCTCTTCCCAATCCCACTCACCACCTGCATCCCTCACCTAAATGCCTGATTACCTCTTCCCAATCCCACTCACCACCTGCATGCATCATCTAACCACCTACTTAGCTTTTCCCTAATCCACTCACCTCCTGCTGGGGGTGACACAGGACTGGAGAACATGTTGGGTCACAGAGGACAGTAGCCCATATAGGGGGGTCACACAGGACAGGAGTACATACAGGGGGTCACACAGGACAGGAGTACATGTTGAGTGGCATTGTTCTCTATTATTATCATTAATAAAGCGACAACAAATTCCGCAGTTCTGTACAATGGATGGACTAGAGTTTAGAGTTAAAAGATGTGCATACTGTGGGGCAGATGGTTTGTCAATCAATACAGTTCATCACCTGACTTTCAGGGTAACTCGCTCGGTTAATAGGCTGACTTACACTTGGGGGTCATGTCACTACGTAGCAGATCCTCACAATGGGAAGATAAACTGCAGTGTTTATTTCATTCAGACTGTGTCAGACTAACAGCAAATAGCAATGGTTGGGGGATTCTTTGGGAATAATGGCTGGGGTACACTGGGTGAAAATGGGAATGATGACTGGAGTACACAGGATGAAGATTGGAATAATGACTGGAGTACACAGCGCTACAGAATCTGTTGGCGCTAAATAAATGGCAATAATAATAATACACAGGTTGAAGAAGGAAATGATGACTGAAGTAGACAGGGTGAAGATGGAAATAATGACTGGAGTAAATGGGGTAAAGACGGGAATGATGACTGGAGTAAATGGGGTGAAGATGGAAATGATGACTGAAGTACACGGGGTGAAGAAGGGAATAATGACTGGAGTAAGTGGGGTGAAGAGGGGAATAATGACTGGAGTACACGGGTTGAAGACAGGAATGATGTCTGGAGTACACGAGTTGAAGACAGGAATGATGTCTGGAGTACACGGGGTGAAGACCGGAATGATGACTGGAGTACACGGGGTAAAGATGGGAATAATGACTGGCGTAATAGGGGTGAAGAGGGGAATAATGACTGGAGTACACAGGATGAAGACGGGAACGATGACTGGAGTACACAGGGTGAAGACAAGAATGATGACTGGAGTACACAGGGTGAAGACAGGAATGATGACTGGAGTACATGGGGTGAAGACAGGAATGATGACTGGAGTACACGGGGTAAAGATGGGAATAATGACTGGCGTAATAGGGGTGAAGAGGGAAATAATGACTGGAGTACACAGGGTGAAGACGGGAACGATGACTGGAGTACACGGGTGAAGACGGGAATAATGACAGAATACACGGGTGAAGACGGGAATAATGACAGCGTACACGGGGTGAAGACGGGAATAATGACTGGACTACATGGGGTGAAGATGGAATAATGACACAGTACATGGGGTGAAGAGGGGAATAATGACAGATTACATGGGGTGAAGAGGGGAATGAGGACTGGAGTGCACGGGGTGAAGAGGGGAATGAGGACTGGAGTACACAGGGTGAAGAGGGGAATGATGACTGGAGTACACGGGATGAACAGGGGAGTACATGAATCTGAGAGAATGTAAAGTAAAGCTTTTGAAGTCACTGTATCCCAGAAACATCTGAAGGTGAGAAGGAAATCACAAAATTTGGCATTGAAATATATCAGCTTGTACACGAAGACGATTGCTTTATAACAGGCCAAATGAAGAACTCAGCTGCACTACTCAGTATAACCTTTCCAGTGCCACCTATAATGCAAACACAATGAGTCTGTATCATACCAGAGGAGGAATGGATCCTACAGCTCTGCTGAATACAGGTTTATCAGGGCCACCACAATGTGTCTAGACTAGACCAGAAGAGGAACCCTGCAGCTCTGCTGAGTATAACCTTTCCAATCCAACTTGAAAACACAATGAGATGAGATCAAATGGTTTAGGAACCCTGCAGCTCGCACTCTTCATTCTCCACATTTAGGATTCTGATTATATTCTTATATTGTGGATGGTGACCTCAGGACTTACCCGATCTCTGTAGGCTTCTGTGCCACTTATCCAAAGATGCCCTGGTCACAGAGATGCCATCTGATTCTCCAGAAGAAAGAAAGAAAGAAAAAAAGAAAGATATCACATGTTTGGTCCGGGAGATCCTGAAGAGACACACTATTCTCCGCTTTTTCCAAAACCCCGGAGGAAGAATGGCATTCCAGCTTCACATCCAGGTTTTCTCCACATTCCCAGGACAAAGACAAACTCATTGACAATCAGAGTGTCTGCTTCAACCAGGGGGAACAGGGGCTAGAGTCTATGGAGAGAGGAAGTGAGGGGCAAGCACTCTGCAGCCAGGCTGGAAGGGAGGGAGAAAGAATGGGACTGGGAGAGTGGGGGGAGGCACAGCTGGGGTGGGGGGAGAGGGGGAGGAACAACTAAGAAAAGGGGGGAGGCTAACAAACTCTGAAGTCAAAAGTTTCCTGCTGATTTTAACCTCTAAACTGCTAGTGTTACTATATTAGCTACGTTACTCTCAGTACTATGTTATTATGTTTGTTAGGCTACTGTATGTGTTAACAGTGTTACCATGTAAGTGTATGTTCTATGTGTAACTGTATGTACTGTGTGACTGTATGTTCTGTGTGACTGTATGTTCTGTGTTAATGTTTGTCTTAACAGTGTTACCATGTAAGTGTATGTTCTATGTGTAACTGTATGTGCTCTGTTACTGTATGTACTGTGTGACTGTATGTACTGTGTTAATGTTTGTCTTAACAGTGTTACCATGTAAGTGGATGTTCTATGTGTAACTGTGTGTACTGTGTGACTGTATGTTGTTCTATGTGTAACTGTGTGTACTGTGTGACTGTATGTTCTGTGTTAATGTATGTGTTAAGTGTTACCATGTAAGTGTATGTTCTATGTTACTGTACGTACTGTGTAACTGTATGTTCTATGTTACTGTACATACTTTGTAACTGTATGTTCTGTGTTACTGTATGCAATATATAAATCTACATGCTTTGTTACTCTATGTACTATGTTACTGCATGTTTTAGCAATGTTGCTATGTAGTTATGTTCTATGTTACAGTTTGTGCTGTGTTACTGTATGTTTTATCTTACTGTATGTGTTAACAGTGTTAGTATATAACTATGTTTTGTTGTACTGCACATACTATTTTATGTACCTGTCATGTTACAGTATGTGCTATGTTATGGTATGTGTGTACTATGTTACTGTATGTACTGTGCCATCCATGTTACCGTATGTAATATATCACTGTGTGTGCTAAGTATATTATGCCTTATTGTATGTGTTGTTACTGTATGTGATATGTTAGTGTATATACTAAACGTTTTACAGCATGTGATTTGTCATTGTATGCATGTTCTATGTTACTGTACTGTAATACTGTAATTGCTAGATTGTAAGATCATGGGCAGGGTCCTCTGTTCCTTTTATAAACGCAAGTGTTTGGCTATATTTTCTCAACTGTGCAATATGTGTATATCATAATTATTGTATGTGTTAAGTATGTTACCGTATATCCTATGTTTGTATGTGCTAAGTATGTTACTGTATATCCCATGTTACTGTATGTGCTAGTTATGTCTATATATCCTATGTTACTATATGTGCTAAGTATGTTACTATATATCCTATGTTACTGTATGTGATAGTTATGTCTGTATATCCTATGTTACTGTATGTGCTAAGTATGTTACTGTATATCCCATGTTACTGTATGTGATAGGTCTGTAAATCCGATGTTACTGTATGTGCTAAGTATGTTACTGTATATCCCATGTTACTGTATGTGATAGGTCTGTAAATCCGATGTTACTGTATGTGCTAAGTATGTTACTGTATATCCTATGTTACTGTATGTGATAGTTATGTCTGTATATCCTATGTTACTGTATATCCTATGTTTGTATGTGCCAGCTATGTCTGTATATCTTATGTTACTGTATGTGCTAGTTAAATCTGTATATCCTATGTTACTGTATGTGATAGTTATGTTTGTATATCCTATGTTACTGTATGTGCTAAGTATGTTACTGTGTATCCTATGTTACTGTATGTGATAGTTATGTCTGTATATCCTATGTTACTGTATGTGATAGGTCTGTAAATCCGATGTTACTGTATGTGCTAAGTATGTTACTGTATATCCTATGTTTGTATGTGCCAGCTATGTCTGTATATCTTATGTTACTGTATGTGCTAGTTAAATCTGTATATCCTATGTTACTGTATGTGATAGTTATGTTTGTATATCCTATGTTACTGTATGTGCTAAGTATGTTACTGTGTATCCTATGTTACTGTATGTGATAGTTATGTCTGTATATCCTATGTTACTGTATGTGATAGGTCTGTAAATCCGATGTTACTGTATGTGCTAAGTATGTTACTGTATATCCTATGTTTGTATGTGCCAGCTATGTCTGTATATCCTATGTTACTGTATGTGCTAGTTAAATCTGTATATCCTATGTTACTGTATGTGTTAAGTATGTTACTGTATATCCTATGTTACTGTATGTGCTAAATATGTTACTGTATATCCTGTTTGTATGTGCACTGTGCCAGCTATGTCTGTATATCCTATGTTACTGTATGTGCTAAGTTTGTTACTGTATATCCTATGTTACTGTATGTGATAGGTCTGTAAATCCGATGTTACTGTATGTGCTAGTTAAATCTGTATATCCTATGTTACTGTATGTGCTAGTTAAATCTGTATATCCTATGTTACTGTATGTGCTAAGTATGTTACTGTATATCCTATGTTACTGTATGTGCTAAGTATGTTACTGTATATCCTCTGTTTGTATGTGCACTGTGCCAGCTATGTCTGTATATCCTATGTTACTGTATGTGCTAAGTTTGTTACTGTATATCCTATGTTACTGTATGTGCTAAGTATGTTACTGTATATCCTATGTTACTGTAAGTACTAGCTGTGTTGCTTTATGTACTTAGTATGTTACCATATGTGCTAAGTGACTGTCATACTGCCATATATGTACATTACTGTATATTGTTTATAAAAGGTTATACATTGTATATAGAGAGTTAATCATAAGGAAATCAAGTGGTGAGTGTGGGTTCCTGTTTATATTGTTGTGTTGGTGCGTTAAACACTATAACACAAACCACAACCAAAAGCCATAGTAATATAAATGTATTTGTGGGTTCTCATCTCTCGCTGTATTGTTGCATTGTTTGTGCCGGACACGGTTTAAAGTGTATCCTTCCCTATAAAATACAATGTAAATAAACACACTACTACACGCAATAACACAAACACAGTAACACACCCATGAAGACAGAAACAAATATATATCCTAATATACACAGTAACACATACATACACAAACATAAACACTATTATACACAATAACACATACAGACAGTAATACACATACTGTATAAACACTATTATACACAATAACACATACAGACAGTAATACGCATACTGTATAAACACTACTATACACAATAACACATACAGACAGTAATACACATACTGTATAAACACTATTATACACAATAACACATACAGACAGTAATACGCATACTGTATAAACACTACTATACACAATAACACATACAGACAGTAATACACATACTGTATAAACACTATTATACACAATAACACATACAGACAGTAATACGCATACTGTATAAACACTACTATACACAATAACACATACAGACAGTAATACACATACTGTATAAACACTATTATACACAATAACACATACAGACAGTAATACGCATACTGTATAAACACTACTATACACAATAACACATACAGACAGTAATACACATACTGTATAAACACTATTATACACAATAACACATACAGACAGTAATACACATACTGTATAAACACTATTATACACAATAACACATACAGACAGTAATACACATACTGTATAAACACTATTATACACAATAACACATACAGACAGTAATATGCATACTGTATAAACACTACTATACACAATAACACATACTGTATAAACACTACTATACACAATAACACATACAGACAGTAATACACATACCTTCCTAGGGTCCATTGATCTTAATCCTTCTCTGGATATACACAATAGCAAATCTATAGCAAGTCAAATATACACTAATATACACAATAGCACATATTAACGCTCATATACAAATATATACAGTAACACACACACACTAATATACACAATAGCAGAAATACACTGTAACACATAAATACAAAATAAAACAATTCACAGTAGAACACACAATGTTGTACACAATAGCACACTCATAAACAATAATACACAACAACACAATTATGCAATATAACACATTATTTAATATTTTTGGATAAACTTAAAATATATATTTTCTCAAAATATTATAATATAAAAAACAAATATCAGATATAAAAACAAATATCAATATTTATAAAAATAATGACAAAATATTTTTCATAATATTAAATGAACACTAATTGTTTAGCTCTCCAGTCGCCCTCAGATCGCTTTGAAAAGGTGTTTAAACTTACCTTTTCTCACTTGCCGTGCTGGTCTCTCTGCGGCTGGCCCCGCCTTCGTGGCTGAAATCATCAATCTTGATGATCTCAGCCAATCCAATGCTTTCCCATAGGAAAACATTTGAAGGCTATTGCGCATGTGCCACAAAACGCTGCGCTGTGCCAATCAGCATCTCCTAAAAGAGATGCGTTGAAACAACGCATATTTATGGGGAGCGTTTAGTGTCTCTATGCAAAACTTGCAGACGTTGAACATACATTGTGCAGCATTGACCCAGGAAGCTCCTCTAGTGACCATCTCAGTGACTGCACCTAGAGGTGTTACTAGGCAGTAATGTGTACACTGCCTTTTCTCTGTAGGAACATGCTATATACACGAGAACCACTACTGCTGTGGTTCTGTTTACTTCAGTGTCCCTTTAAATAATTGTAAAAGATTGTCCAAAAGTATTAAATCATTTGAATAGCTAACATTATTAAATTGAAACAAAACTGATTCTCATATCAATGAAATGATGCTTAAAATATTGATATTTTAAGTACCAATAGAACCTATTTAAAACTATGTACAGTATATCTCTAATCAAATACTTAATATATATAATATGGAAAATGTAATCAATGTTTGAGTTACAGATGTATTGCAGTCCCCATATATTGCACATAGGGTGCAGAATGTATTTCCAATAATTAAATGGCCATCGATGTCACACTCTCTTCCTGAGTGCAGTGTGAATTGTATAAGCAGTTACTGCTAATTTATTATTTATTTAAAATACTTTTGAATTAATACATACATATTAATAATGGAATAATTTATGCAATATGTGTGTGAATTGTTTAATTTACTAGACAAATAGAATTTAAATTTATATATTGTTTTAAATAACTGGTTATGGACTAAAAGATTCATGAACTGTTGAATTCACGTTATAGATATATCTTTGATGTATAAAGGTACGGTACAAATAATGGCAATAATAAAAAATATATTTAAAAATGGCAATAAATAGTCCAATGTTGACCTTGTTTCCAACGATATCATCTGTAAGGTGTTTATTAGATATTTACCGCAAAAAATATATAGATGGGTTTCCAACCTTCAGGTCCACATTTAGTGGAGGGCGACTATGTCTACTTATCCTTATAGATACCATCCACCTCTTATTGTACACTTAAATCATCACCATAGCAACCACACCAGGATGGTATCAAAAGGTTCACCTGTGATTGGCCTCAGCAGGCTAGACGCAGCAGATATCTCTTTATTTGTACATGAAGGTTGAAGCACATGTCCAAAAACATGCATACTAGGTGTATTGACCTTAGATTGAAATGTAGTTTTATGATTCCCTGTGGGCCTCTCAACATACTTTCTGATGTCTGTCCTGTTCTTTGTCGCCATGCCGCTCGCTGTGACGCCAGACAACATTCTTCCTTCATAACTGATGT